TGTGTTGTAAATTTTACTATCTGGGTCTGGATGGACATTTCCAGTCTGTGGGCATTCCCCTTTCTCTGCATCCTTGCCAGCATCTGTTATTCCTTGTCTTTTTGATAAAAGCCATGTTAAATGGAGTAAGGTATCTCAATGTGGCTTAGATTTGCGTTCCCAATATGGTAAGTGGTTTTGAACATTTCTTCATATATCTGTTGACTATTTGTATGTCTTCCTTTAATACATGGCTATTCAGACCTGTTGCCCATTTTAAAATCAGATTATTTTTCCCAGCAATGCAATTACGTACATATTGGTCTATACCATTACTTATAAAACCAGTTAAGGGAAGAAAAGGTAAGAAATAAGCAATTATGCTGTTTTTATAAGTAATTATACAATTACATACAAGCAATAAAAACGTAACAAACATTTAAGACTTGCCTCTATTAGACTCCTCTAATTGTTAATTGATTGCTCTATTCCTTTTAATAGGCCTAAAGCACAATGCATAAATCATTCTGTGGGCTGATTAAAGTCTAGCCTCTTTGCCAAGTCAGAGTGTTGCTAGGGTTTGAGGTTGTCTTTCACCCCAGGAGGGCCCTTCTTAGTTATCTCTTCTTCTGATTATCTCTGCTAAGCTTCTGCCTGGTCTTCTTGTTTCTTGTTACTACTGTCATGGAATTATCACCCTCTTTTCGGTTTTTCAGCACCAAAATTTCAATTTTTTTTTTTTTAACATGTTCTTAAGCATGAACTTCTCCACACTCCATTTCAAATAAAGCCAGCTTTAGGGAGACCTGTGGAGCTCTCTGTTCTGATGGCCTCCCTCTTCCCTGGGCAGAACTGCTAAGCCACTGGACTGGAGCTGGTGTCAGGGACAGTAGGCAGCTTCTCCTGTGGCGATGTCTTTGCTCTACAGCTGAAACACTGGGCGGGGGTGGTAGCTGCTAGTCCTCCATTTGCCTTTTCTTGCATGGAACCTCTGCCATGAGTGAACTCAGGCAGGATCAATGAAGCCCAGTGTGCCTGACCTACTAAACCTGCTGTTGAACTTTCATGCTGGGAGGAGGGGCTGGATGGGAGAAGGAGCCTCAGTCCTGTAAGCCACAATTTCTAACTAATGTAGAACATCTGCAACATGAAGACAGCAGGATAAAAGATGCTGCCCTTTCTGGACTGAAACTGTAGCCCTAGGCTGGAAGCTGGGAAGAAATGGAGTCCCATTTTCTTGTCCATGATTGCCCAGAATAGAACTTCAGTTACACATTGTTGGCTGGGGATGTGGGGAATAGGAGTAATCTGTGGCTTAAATGCCCTCAGACTCTCGCTGCTCTATATAGATTGAGTAGAATTTCTTGAATAAACATTTCTTCATTTGCTGTATGCCCTTAGGACAATTTCCTGAGACCTAATTGTTTTTATCAAAAAAAAATTTTTGACCAGTTAAATGGTTGTTTTGCTGGGAGGAGGGCTCCCATGCTCTTCACATTGGCTTCTGGACATCCTGCTTTATAGTTTGAAATCTTTTGCATGTAAGTCTATCATCTATTTCGAATTAAATTTTCACATTTGGTGTGAGATATGGGTCCAGATACATCCCCCCATATAGATATCTATTACAAGGACTGATCTATGCCTGGTAAGTTGTAGTGGTACATTTGTCACAAATCACTGACTGTCTGTATGTAGATCTGTATCTGAATTCTGTTTTAATCCATTGATAAATTTGTTTAACTTGTACAAACCACACTCTAAATTATTATAGTTTTATAAAACTTCCTGATCTGTTAGTGTAAGTCCATAGCTTTGTTTAGTTTCTTCAATTTTGTATTGGCTATCCTATCATTTTCATTTTCTGATAATTTTTTTTAATTGTGCAAAAAGAGGGTGTCAAGTGATCCTCCTGCCTTGGCCTCCCCAAGTGCTAGGATTATAGGTGTGAGCCACCACACCTGGCCATGATTTTTCTGATAAAATTCACTGGACTGTGTCATGTGGAGGATCCTGCCAGGGCAGGGGTTAGGCTTTGGTCAACAGAAGCCCCTTTGCAGGGAGCTTCTGAAATCCTGACATTGTGTTTGAACAAAGTGATTCACAGAGTCCTCCTTGTCCGCCAGCAGTGGAGGGGCCTCTGGCCTAGGGAACTCTGGACTTCTTTCTATGTACCTTACATACCTGCACACCTAAAATTCCACCTCATTCCTGCCTGTTTCCTAGCAGGGCTTCCCTGAGGGCAGTTGGAAAGACAACCCCAAAGCTGCCAGGAGGGAGATTCCTTCTATTTTCTCCTGGAGTAAAAGGGCAAGCAGTGGGAAAGCTGCTGACAGCAGGAAATGCCAGTGTCCTCCAGGGTTTCACATTCCAGGAGCCAAGACCCACCAGCCCTGCCCAGGAGCCCTGGGAACATCAGACCTGGGTGTCCTCTAGGAGTGTCTGTGAACAGAGTCTTCCTGCTCTTCCAAGAGGTGCCAGGCCTGGGTGAGTTTGGCAGCCCCTGGGTGGGAGGTTGGAGACCTGGGTTCTGGCACAGCCTGTGTCACTGACTAACAGCAGGACTTCAGTCTGTGTCCTGCTTGGATCCAGGAAGTGGGGTGAGAGAATTATGGTGATGGTCATTTGAGGTCAGGGTTTACATTTACTGTGCAGACACCTGGTATCTTCTCTAGATACTCAAGGACAGGCTTCCACCAGGACATCCTGGTCCTGCCTCACACAGCTGGGCTCCCAGGCAGAAGACAGACCCAAGCAAAGACATGGATGCCCCAGAGTGGGCATGTTAGGAAGGGGGACTCTGAGGAACTAGTGGCAGGATTGGACAGAGTTGTGTTTACAGGCTTTTCTGACACCTTAGGAAGGAGCAGGGACAGGACTTGAACAAAGGGCTGTATGACCCCAAGGCCTCATCATGTCTACTCAGAAGCTCTTAGTGTCCAGGGAGCCCTGGACAAGCCCCCACTGCCCTCACAATGTCCCAGCCGCTGAGGCCCCCATGCTGTGCTACAATCTTCCTCCACCTTCCATACGCTGGGCTGATTTAGTTGTTCTGAGAGACCAGGCTTAGGCCATGAGGGTGGGCTTGACTCCTTCCTCCTCAGAGATGCCCACCCTGCCCCTGCCCCAGGAAAGAGGCTCCCCTCTCTCACTCTGACTTATATGCAGGCCCTCCCCTCTTCTTGGTAGAGACACTAAGATCTAGTGCAGGACCCCACTCCAACTTCTCAGAAAATGCCTGGAACCAAGAATCTGAGAACTGCACCCATTTTTGGAAGACACTAAAGGGCAGCTTTGTCAGTGGCTCTTGGAGAAGGAAGAGGTGATCCCCAAGTATGCTCACCATTTATCTGTGACTTATTCAACCCGGAGCCTTCTGTACTTCCTAGTGTTATCACTATTTGTTTGTGATTCACTCAAAAAACTAGATATCTAGTTCTAAATATATGATATTTTATCATGTAATAATATAATCTGACACAATGATATAATAATATTCTATCATTGCCTGGAATACACACAGTCCCAATAAGAGGGTCTCAAACAATCCAGCACAGCACTCCAGTTAGTGCACACTGTCCCATTTTCTAATCCTTTTTTTTTTCCAATTAAAAATAACATTGTTTATGCCCAACTGAATTGGTTTTATATGCTACTAGCATGTCTTAATCTATGTTCTGGAAAATACCACTCTAGCTCATGCTAGTGAGGCATGGAGGCCGATGGAGCAGACAGGGAGATGGTGCTGGAAACAGTCTGCTCTGCCCCAGGAGAAGATGGGTGCTGAGCACTCTGCTATTTATCACCCTCTTCTTTTGTCTCCTGCCTCCAGGGAGAGCCCCTATCCATGCTCCCCAGGAACACACAGATGCAGGATCTTCCACACACACAAATCTGACCACATCCATGCCGTGCTAGGACCTAGCCATGGTGCCTACAGGGTGACAGGTCACCTTGCCTGGCCTTGAGGAGAATGGCTTGTTCATGACAGGCATGACCTATGAGCTCCCCAGCTGAGGAATTCCTGCAGAAGCTGGGAGGGGCCCACAGAACTGACCCAAAACAGTTCCTTCCCCTCTGTCCTCACATCATGGCCCCAGGATGGCTCTTCTCAGGGAAAATCACAACCCAGCCCTCTGAAAAAGCACATTAAGGAAAAATGCCTTTGAGAATCTCAGGATAGGTGTGGAAATTCACCAGAACTCCACAGTGATAATGACACTGAACACAGGAACCACAATAACCAAAACTAAGGAGATCTATTTTCCTACCTTCTCTCTCTCTCTCCTCTCACTGTCGTGAACTTCATGAAGACACTGATTTTGAATATTCAATCAAAGTCAAATATTCAACCAAAAAAAAAAATTCAATCAACTCAGCTCTGCATCACCAGTGTCTGACATAAAGCCTGGGACATGTGGGCTTCCAAGTAAATTTGTCCTGGATAAATGACCATTAATGAGACAGAGAAGGAGTAGGACAGCCCCCAGAGGAGTGAGTCCCAGGGGTCCCTCCAGATCCACTCCCACCTTCCAAACCTGTGAAAGGTGCCTGAGTCACACAGTCTCCCACCCGAATGCCAGGAGCTGCAGGTGAGTGGGAAGTTACTGGATTCTGGGCCATGGACCTGGGTTGCGAGGTTGGAACCTAATGGACCACCTTGGAAGCATGTCATAGCTCAGTAGGATCCTGTGGAATGGCTGTGCCAACGTGCAAGTATGAGAGGATGTTAATGCCAGGAGCATCCTGCACCTTCTGTTTACCAAAGAAGCCTCACTGCGGGACATGAGAGTGAGGCAGGTAGAACAGAGAAGGTGGAGAGTACACCAGTTCTCCCCTTGGCTATCAAAATGTCTGAGATCAAATCTACTGTGACACATACTCTGCCTGGCACCTCTCCCACTCAAGGACCCAGCCTGTCTCTGCAGGCAGAACAAGTCATCACTGGTACCACTCCTCTGGTAATAAAAGGAGTGATAGTGACAAAAAGTGGGATAACAGGAGCTGCTGAGATCTGCTGATCACCTGCTCACTCCACTGCAGCTACCCCAGAGCCATGGTTCCCCGAGGCTGCATCCTGGGTAAGGAGGACAGGACCCCATTCCCACCCGAGCCCATCTCCCATCTCAGCCACCTCCAGGGCTCGCTCCCCACTCTACCCTACACCTCATCCATGTTCCCATGCCTGGTCACCTCCCCAGACAACTTGTTCACAGCAATTCCCCACTCATAGCCCCAGGTCAGCTCCATCCACAGCCCTGCTTTAGTCCCTGAACTACTGATCAAAGCCCAACCGAGTCCTGATCCCACTCCCACCCAATCTTCTAAATGTCAGTGCCAGTCACACCTGTGGCTAACTGGTTACCAACTCCTTCCCTTCCCTCTCCCACAGCTGTCTTGGCGGCTCTCTGCATCTTCAGGCTCCTCTGCTCACATGGAGCCCCAGGTGAGCCCAGGAGGGACTGGGAAGCTGGGGGATGAGTGTAGTTCCCAGGGAACCCCCAGCTGGGACCCACCTGCCACTCCACCTGGACCTCACCAGCTCGGTCTCCTACAGTGGCTCCCACAAGTCCTTACCTGATGCTGTGCCAGCCACAGCTGAGATGTGGGGACAAGTTCTACGACCCCCTGCAGCACTGTTGCTATGACAATGCTGTGGTGCCCTTGGGCAGAACCCAGGGGTGTGGAAACTGCACCTTCAGAGTCTGCTTTGAGAGATGCTGCCCCTGGTACCACAGCCCCCAGCCATCCCTCGTGGTGAAGCGGATAGACCAGAACTGCACCTCAGAACCCACCTCGGACAACAAGCCTTGTCACAGGTAAGTCCTGTTCCCTCCATGGGATTGTGGGTGCAGGGGAGCAGGGGAGCTGCATGTCTGTTCTGCCCTGGGTGGTGCCCCCATTCTCCGTGCCTCCCTGTCTCTGCCCCCTGCCTCTATTCAGTCCATCTCTCCCTTTCCCTACACCTTGTTTCTTCCTCCACTTATTTCTATTTCCCTCTCACAACCTCACTCTCTCAACACTGCCATCCTCTCCTCCTGGCTCTCCTGTCCTCTTTTCCGCCCATGTCCAGTCTCTCCCCCATCTCTGGGCATCTCTGTCCTGCTCAGTGTCTCTCTTTGTCACTCTCTCCAGTCTCAGCTGATGGAACGTCAGGGGAACAATAACTTTTGGATTCTGTTTCCCGGATGGGCCCAGAGACTCTAACCTCTCACAATGACCCCTATGGCTGACATCAAGCAGGCAGTACCCCCACAATGGCTTCTCCAAGGCTGTCCCTTCTCTAAGACACTTCATTACTTTAGGTCCCTTCTCTCCCAGGAACAGTATGCACACATTTAATAAATGTATGTACTTTGATTTATGTTGTAGAATGTATGAATTATTAGAGGGCTTGTCGGCTAGGAGGGGTCATAGACAGTGACATCAATCCCTCTTTCCTCTGTCACCCTGAGGCAGCCAGGCTTCTCTACTTATTCTGTCAGAGGCGTTGGAACCAGAGCAACTCTATTTTGAGTGAGGGCTAGGAAAACGAAGCTGGGACTTGCAGGGCTGCATTCTCACAAAGTTAGACATTCCTAGACTCAAGATGTTTACCGTGAAGGGAACAAATTAATGTTTACTGGAACAGACCCAGACTTGGGAGTGGCCCGACAGACTTGGGGGTGTCCCGATATCCCGATAGCTGCAGATTCCTAATTTTGCTTTAAAGATAATACTATGTCTTGCAAAATATAGTAAGAAAATTAATCCTTTATCACAAACCCTTACAGTAGAACACATCTCATCACATATAGGAGCATGTACCGAGGACAAACACGTTCCTCCTCTTACTTTTGGGAATGCCCTACTCTGTCTAAGCTGTCTATGGAGTAGCTGTACTTTCCCCACTAAGCTTTTATTATTTTTTGAGACGGAGTCTTGCTCCCTCACCCAGGCTGGAGGGCAGCGGCAGGATCTCGGCTCACTGCAGCCTCCACCTCCCAGGTTCAAGCAATTCTCCTGCCTCAGCCTCCCGAGTAGCTGGGACTACAGGCTTGCGCTGCCACACCTGGCTAATTTTTGTATTTTGAGTACAGACAGGGTTTCATCGTGTTGGCCAGGATGGTCTGGATCTCTTGACCTCGTGATCCACCGGCTTGGGCCTCCCAGAGTGCTGGAATTACAGGCCGTGCTCACCCCTGGCCCGTTTTTTTTTTCTTTTTTGAAATGAGTCTCGCTCTTGATGCCAGGGTTGGAGTGCAACGGGGGCGGTCTTGGCTCACTGCAACCTCCGCCTCCCAGGTTCAAGTAATTCTCCTGTCTCAGCCTCCAGAATAGCTGGGATTACAGGCACCCGCCACCACGCCTGGCGGTAATGTTTGCAGTTTTAGTAGAGACGGAGTTTCACCATGTTGTCCAGACTCGTCTGGAACCCCTGACCTCAAGTGATCCACCCGCCTAGGCCTCCCAAAGTGTTGTGATTACAGGCATGAGCCATCGTGCCCAGTCTATACTTCCTTAATAAACTTGCTTTTGCTTTGCACTGGGGATTCGCCCTGAATTTTTTCTTGCGCAAGATCCACAAACCGTCTCCTGGGATCTAGATCAGGACCCCTTTCCTGTAACAGCTCCTTATGTGCACACTATTCCTTTTTCTTTCCTTTTTTCACCTATTTTTAAAAATAATTTTAATACAGAAAGGGCACATGGGGGACGACCGGCCTTATTCTTCCATCCGCAATGGGGAGATGGCTGCAGCCACTCCAGCGACAAGGGCCACAGGTTCACCCTCCACAGCCACATCTGCCTTCCCACTGCTTTCAGAACCCAGTCCCAGTTCCAGGAGAAGCCCGGGCTGAGGGTGGAGGCGGGAATCACAGGAGGGCTGCAGAGGGTGGTGGGATGGGCACCTGGAGACCAAGGCGGCAGCAGAGCCTGAGCCGGAGCAGGTGCGGGCGGGGCAGAGGCCGCGGGCTGGGGAGGAGCCCTCAAGGATTCAGAGAGGAAGGAAGGAAAGGGCATGTGGAGGGCGCGGACCGGGGAGGAGCCCCGGGATGGAGATGGCCGGAGAGGGAGGGAGAAAAGGCCAGCAGAGGGCACAGGACTCGCAGCCACCAGGTCCTGCGCTCTAGGAAAACCCTCGTGCTCAGGGCTAACTAGGAATAGGTCGCAGAAACGGAGCCACGTTGCTCCCTACTCAACCCAAAGGCAGGTCCGGAGGAAGGCTTCAGCCTCAGGGTCCCCACCAACGTGAAGGCAGAGGGGCCGCCACCTTTTCGGGCCTTGTTTCCCGGGCGAGGGTCTCTGCACAGGACCCAGACCCGCGCCCCTGGGCCTCGAAGTCACCAGAGGCCAACCCAGGCTCCCGGACTCCCCGAGGCCTTCCCCCGGCGGATTCTGACTCAGAGGGTTCCGTCATCGCCCCATAGGTGGCAGCATCGCCTCAGTGGCCCCAGCCCGGCCCAGGCGCCAGCTGTCTGCACCTACGGGAACTCTGGACCCGGCACATCACATGGCAGCAATTGTCACAGGGCAAACTCCTGTCTCACAGGCCTATCAGTGGGCGCACACCCAGTGCTGGGTGAGCTCTGCCTCCCCATGCTCGGATTCTGCAGGGGCTGAGGGCTGAGCTGACGCGTAGGGAGCAACAGACCCAGGCCACCTACGGGGCAGTGCTTCCTCATCCTCCACAGCGAGCTCCTAAACCTTCACCCTGTCCACACGTGACTCTCCCTTCCTTCACTCTGTCCCCCACCACCCCACCCCATGAAATGATCTCAACTGATTGTCCACATGGGAAATTAAAAACCTTCAAGTGGCTCCCCAAGAGCAGAAGAGAGGCGGGTCTCCCAGCTGAGACTCCGCCCGGGAAGCCCCCACAAAGCTCCTCTGGTTTGGCGCCCAAGCCACTGCGCATGCGCCGAGACGCCTCGCTCAGCTCCCAACCCGTCTTAATCGTGGAATCAGGCATCTGAGTCCAGCCTCATCCTGGCCAACTTGACTACTCATCCATATCCCCACCTTCCCCAAATACACGGCATTGATACCAAAGCATCACCTCATCTGGCACAAGAATCTGAAACACAGACCACACCTTACACGAACCTGGTGGATTCCTCCTTCGCCGTGACTCCTACAAGCCCAGGGAGTCTGGGCTCCGGGTTCCTGCCCAAACGCCACGCATGCGCACAGAAGGTTCAAATGCCACACATGCGCACAGAAGGCACCTAGTGTCCTCTCTGAGTTCCCGCCCAAATGCTGCGCATGCGCACAGAAGGCACCCGCCGTCCTCTCTGAGAGGCAGGAATCCCAAGCTTCCCGGAATCGCTAGGCCTCATTTAAATAGCATCAAATAAATTGGAAAAGAATGGAAGTGCTATAAAGTTTGGCTAAGGGGATGGCATTTTCAGCGGTTTTATTAATTGTGTCTGGTGAAGGGAGTGAGCGAGTCCTCTCTGAACATCCATGAGGATGAAGGACAGTCACTGAGGTGACGGTACCAACTCACCGACGACCTCCCAGGAATCCTCTCATTCAATCCTCAAAACAGTGCTGCATGGTCGGAACCTGGTCGGAACCTGGGCCCCACCCCATTATCCAGGCCTTAGACCCTGGACCTGCGGAGGGATGAGGAGGGCTTGGTGCCTGTTCTTCCCCAGCTGGTGACCCTACCTTGTTCTCTGTATCTACCACTCTCCTTCTGTTTCCCCTCTCTCTCCTCTCCTCTATCCCTCTTCTCTCTTTAAAGGGAGAATCTATAAAGAAGTGAATGAATGAAGAGAAACTTCCCAGCTTAACAATGCAGCAGGAGGCAGAGGATATTTGACTCAGCAGAGTCTACACATGGTCTGAGTTTCCATTCCTGGACTGTATGAAAAACCCTGTGAAAGATGTTTTGTACAGTGACTTTGGCCATATAGGATGACAAGCAAATCTGTTATCGAGTGAAAGGTTAAAAGGAAACCAATCAGAAATTCCTCAAAATAACTTTATCCTTACTACACGAGATCCACTCCATCATAGTTCTTTCCGTTCTGTTTTCTTGTTTATTGGACACCTCTTTGGGCCCAGGACAGCTCACGGATGAGACAGGGATGTTCCCCAGGTGGAAGGTCCAAGGCCTGGATGATAGTGGGGCCCAGGGTTGGCGCCCAGGGTCTGGAGCACGTGAGTGGATGAAGGCCCCGGGCTTCAGCTTCCTCTTGGTGGAATGTGGGTAATGAGGTCCGACCATGCAGTGCTGCTGTGAGGACTGAATGAGAGGATTCCTGGGAGGTGGTCCGTGACCTGGTACCGTCACCTCAGTGACTGTCCTTCATCCTCATGGATGTTCAGAGAAGACTCATTCACTCCCTCCATCAGACAGGACTGATACAACTTCTGAAAGTTTCATCACCTTAGCCAAACTTTATAGCACTTCCATTCTTTTCCAATTTATTTGGTGCTATTTAAATCACAGCTAGTGATTCTGGGAAGCCCAGGATTTCTGTCCCTCAGAGGAGACGCCAGGTGCCTTCTGGGCGCATGCGAGGCATTTGGGAGGGAACCCAGAGCCCTGACTCTTGGATTCAGGTCCAAGGAGGGATCCACCAGGTTGGTGTAAGGTGTGGCCTGTGTTGTGCCACATTCTTTTGACAGATGAGGTGATGCTTTGATGTCAATGCCGTGAGTTCTGGGAAGGTGGGGGATCTGGACCAGTGGTCTAGGGGGTTAGGAAGCAGCAGGACCCAGACACCTAAGAATTTCGGGTTTAACAGGGGTGGGGCTGATTGAGGCCTGTGGGCGCATGCGCAGTGCCTTGAGCGCCTACATCCAGCAGCGCAGCTTTCAGTCTGGGCGTCTCGGGCGGGGTATGAGCTGGGAGACCCGCCTCTCTCCTGCTTTCCTGGAGTCACTTAAAACTTTTTAGTTTTTCACTTAAATGGCCAGATGAGACCATTTCATAGGGTGGCAGAGGAGTGGAGGAAGGAAGAGTCACACGTGGACAGGGTGAAGATTTAGGAGCTAGCTGTGGAGGACGAGGAAGCGCCGCCCCGTAGGTGGCCTGGTTGTGTCGCTTCCTCCGCCTCAGCTCAGCCCTCAGCCCCTGCAGAATCTGAGCATGGGGAGGCAGAGCTCACCCAGCACTGGGTGTGCGCCCACTGATAGGCCTAGCTGGGGTTAGGCCTGTGAGACAGGGTTTTGCCCTGTGATGCCAGATTGCTGCCACGGTATATGCCAGGTCCAGAGTTTCTGCAGGTGCAGACAGCTGGCGCCTGGGCCGGGCTGGGGCCACTGAGGCGATGCTGCCACCTATGGGACGATGACGGAACCCTCTAGGTCAGAATCCGCCCAGGAAGCCATCAGGCCATCTCGGACCCTGGGTTGGCCTCAGGTGACTGAGGCCGATGGGCGCGGGTCTGGGTCCTGTGAAGAGCCCCTGGCCCTAGGAAACAGGACCCAGAAAGTTGGTGGCTGCTTTGCCTTCAGGCAATTCAGGTTTGTGGGGACCCTAGGGCTGAACCCTCCCCAGGGAACCTGCTTCTGGGTCGGGTAAGAAGCAGCGCGGCCCCCTCCCTGAGATCTATTCCACAACAGCACTGGGCACGAGGGTTTGTTCCCCAGCGCAGGGCCTGGAGAATGTGCTTCAGGTGCCTCGGCAGGCCTTTCCTTCCTCCTTCCAATGCCGGAGGCTCCTCCATGGCCCACAACTTCTGCACCCCGCCCCACTCAGTCCTGCTCAGGCTCCAGCTTTGACCCAAGTCAGGCTAAGAGTGGCATTTCTGGGTGCTGGACCTGCCCAGTGAGTTTTCCATGGTCCCAGGGGACGTGTGCCCGGGATGGGTGTGTGGCAGGTCAGGTTTCCATTCTCAACCAGAGAAGTCAACTTCCACTAACCCTTTATTCTAATTTTGATGAACACATACGTTAAACTTTCAAGAACTGGAGAAACTGGTGCCTGAGGACTAGCGAAAATGAGAAAACAAATCCATTAAAACCCTGGCTGGGTTTTCTCAGACCCTAAAATCTGGTCAATCAATGATAGCATTCTTACACATATTCCTCATACTAGGGCCATTCAAGATTAAGAAACTTTCCAAGACTCTAGAGAAAGCTTTCCAGACCCTCCACACTAGCTAAAGATTAGATATCGACAGAATGAAACATGCCTGCTTGCAGGTGACCTCTGCACACTGGCATGGGGCTTAGGATGCACATAGCACTAGAAAAAGAAGCTTGTAACTTTGAGTTGGTCTGGTGAGCTACTCCGACCTTCTCCCCATAGCCGATTGCAGAAGGACACGCTGTTCTTCCCCAGTCTGTCTGCATCTCCTTAATGGACATCGAGAACAAACAGCCGGACCCTGTTCTGTCCCAGAACAGGTGGAAGAGGGAGTGCTCCTCCCAAGGTGTGATTCCCATCTCCTTTCCAGCCCACTTGGGCTGGTCCCGATGCTGGGGACTGGGTTCAGGGAGCGATGGGATGGTGGAGGACGGTGGAGGAGGGTGGCCTCTGTCCCAGGGGTGGCCAGGGCCCTATTCACACAGCACGAGTAATAAAATCAAAAATTTAAAAATAAATGGAGAAAGGAAACATAATTGTATGCATGAACAGAGCAAATGGAGAAGCCCGGATGCCTCAGGGTGACAGAGAGAAGGGAAGGGGCCCCACACCACCATTTGTGACCCGTCACAACCACCCAAGCTCTGTGATTCATGAATTCTACAGCATAAATTTATAAAGTACATACATTTATTATGGTCCTGTGCTTTGCTCCTGGATAGAAAACAACTTGAGGTAATGGAAAATCTCACAGAATGGTGAGGGTTTCCCCGCCAGCCTTGGGGTGGTGCCTCCCTGATGTTGGCCATAGAGGTCAGTCATCATGAGGGGTCAGAGTCCCTGAGCCCTCATCAGCACATGCATCTCCTGCTGTCCAGAATCCTAGAAGGGCACCTGTGGCCCTCCTCAGGACACATGCAGGGTGGGCATCAAACAGGTCACAGAATGAAGTGGGGGGGGTTGAGTGTGTGTTTCTCCTGCCCCCAAATAGCCACTCAGCATCCCAGATCTCAGGTGACCCCAGCCTCTCTCTCCAGGCCCATCCAGGAAGCAGAATCCAGGAGTCATTGTTCCCCTATGTTCCATCAGCTGACAGTGGAGAGAGTGACAGAGAGAGACACTGAGCAGGACAGAGATGCCCAGAGATGGGGGAGAGACTGGACATGAGCGGAAAAGAGGACAGGAGAGCCAGGAGGAGATGACGACAGTGTTGAGAGAGTGAGGTTGTGAGAGGAAAATAAAAATAAATGGAGGAAGAAACAAGGTGTAGGGAAGGGGAGAGATGGACTGAAGAGAGGCAGGGGGCAGAGACAGGGAGACACGGAGAATGGGGGTGTCACCCAGGGCAGAACAGGCATGCGGCTCCCCTGCTCCCCTGCACCCACAAACTCATGGAGGGGACAGGACTCACCTGTGACAAAGCCTGTCATCCAAGGTTGAGGCCGAGTTGCAGTTCTGGCCTATCAGCTTCACCATCAAGGTCCGGGAACAGCACTGCTCGAAGCAGACTCTGAAGGTGCAGTTTCCACATCTTTGGGTCCTGGTCAAGGGCACGACAGCATCGTCATAGCAACAGTGCTGCAGGGGGTCATAGAACTTGTCCCCACATCTCAGGTGTGGCTGGCACAGCATCAGGTAAGGACTTGTGGGGACCACTGGAGGAGACAGAGCTGGTGAGGTCCAGGTGGGGTGGCAGGTGAGTCCCAGCATGGGGTCCCCTGGGAGCTGCATCACCCCAGCTTCCCAATTTCTCCTGGGCTCACCTGGGGCTCCATGTGAGCAGAGGAGCCTGGAGATGCAGACAGCAGCCAAGACAGCTGTGGGGAAAAGGGGAAAGTGGGGTAAGTGAGCAGCCACAGATATGACTGGCATTGACATTTAGAAGACTGGGTGAAACCAGGGCTTCGTATGGCTTTGGACAGTTCAGGGACTCAAGCAGGGCTGTGGATGGGGCTGGCCCGAGCATTATGAATAGGGAATTGCTGGGCCTGGTAACAGGGGTGAGGTGTAGGGTAGAGTGGGGAGCAAGCCCTGGAGATGGCCGAGATGGGAGATGGGCTCGTGTGGTAATGGGGTCCTGTCCTCCTTACCCAGGATGCAGCCTCGGGGAACCATAGCTCCAGCAGAGTGAGTGGGTGATCAACAGATCTCAGCGCCTCCTTTTATCTCATATTCCTAGAGGAGCTGGTAACGTCACAACATGTCCTGCCCTCCTGGAAGTTCTGCAGAAACAGGCTGGGTCTTTGGGCAGGATAGGAGCCAGGCAGGGTGTGTGTCACGGTAGATTTGATCTCAGCTTTGTTCTCAAGAGAGAAGTGGTGCACCCCCCACCTTCTCTGTGCTACGTGCCCTCTCTCATTCCTGACACTGATGCCTCTGGCAAACAGGAGAAAATAGGATCCTCCTGATGTTAACATCCTCTGACACACATCCGCACAGCGATTCCACAAGATCCTACTGAGCTATGACTTTCCCCACTTTCCTTAGGATGTTGCTAACCAATGACATAGTCCATGGGGTCCATTAGGTCCCGACCTCACAACCCAAACCCACGGTCCAGAATCCAGTAACTTCTCACTCAGCTGCAGCTCATGGCATTCGTGTGTGAGAGACTGTGTGACTAAGGCACCTTTCACAGGTTTGCAAGGTGGGAGTGGATTTGGCCAAACCCCTGGGACTCACACTCCTCTGCAGGCTCTTCAACTCCTTCTCTGTCTCATTAATGGTCATTTATCCAGGACAGGTCCACATGGAAGCCCACATGTCCCAGGCTTTATGTCAAGACATTGGTGATGCAGTGCTGAGTAGAACATTCAAAGTCAGTGTCTTCATGAAGTTCATGACAGTGAGAGAAGAGAGAGAGAGAGAGAGAGAGAGAGAGAGAGAGAGAGAGAGAGAGAGAGGAAAATAAGGAAAATAAATGGGTTATTGTGGTTGAAGTTCTGGTGGAGAAATTCCACACCCATCTTGATATTCCTAAAGGCATTTTTCCTTAATGTGCTTTTTCAGAGGGCTGGGTTGTGATTTTCCCTGAGAAGAGCCATCCTGGGGCCTTGATATGAGGACAGAGGGGAAGGAGGTGTTTTGGGTCAGTTCTGTGGGTCCCACCCAGCTTCTGCAGGAATTCCTCAGCTCATGAGCTCACAGGCCATGCCTGGCATGAACAAGCCATTCTCTTCAAGGCCAGGCAAGGTGACCTGTCACCCTGTAGGCACCATAGCTAGGTCCTAGCAGGGCATGGATGTGGTCAAATTTGTATGTGTGGAAGATCCTGCATCTGTGTTCCCAGGGAGCATGCACGGGGGTTCCTTCTGGAGGCAGAAGACAAGGGAAGAGGCTGCAGCAGAAAAGACCTCACAATAAATACCAGAGTGCTCAGCTCCCACCTTTTCCCAGGGCAGAGCAGACCCTGCTTCCAGCACCATCTCCCTGTCTGCTCCAATGTCCTCCATGCCTCGCTGCTGTGGGGTACAGCTGTGTTTTCCAGGACACAGATTAGGAAATTTGGTTGGGCATAAACAATATTATTTTTAATTTAAAAAAATGGGTTGGAAAGTGGCACAGTGTGCATTAACCAGAGCGCTGTGCTCAACTGTTTATGACACACGCCCTCCCCCTACCCTTTTTTTTTTTTTTTTTTTTTTTTTGAGATGGAGTCTCTTTCTGTTGCACAGGCTGGAGTGCAGTGGGATGATCTTGGCTCACTGCATCCTCTGCATCCCAGGTTCAAGCGATTCTCCTGCCCCAGCCTCTGAGCAGCTGGGAATACAGATTCCCGCCACTGCGCCTGGGTAATTTTTGTATTCTTTGTAGAGATGGGGTTTTACCCTGTTGGCCAAGCTGGTCTTGAACTTCTAATCTCAGGTGATCTGCCACTTCAGCCTCCCAAAGTGCTGTGACTACAGGCGTAAGCCACTGTACCCAGCCTGTTTAGGACCATTTTATTGGAACTATGTGCATTTCAAGTAATGACAGAATATTATATGGTTCTATCATATGATATTACTATATGATAGAATAGCATATATCTAGAACTAGGCATCTAGTTTTTTGAGGGAGTCACAGCCAAATGATGAGGACACTTGGGAGCACAGAAGCATCTGGGATCACCTTCTTCTCTCTAAGAGCCACTGACATATCTGCCCTTTGATGTCTTCCATAAAGGGGTCCCATTCTCAGGTCCTTGGTTCCAGGCATTTTCCGGGAGGCTGCATGGAGCCCTGCACTAGGTCTTATTGTCTCTACCAAGAAAAGGCGAGTCTGCCTGCATGAGCCGGGGTGAGAGAGGGGAGCACCTTTCCTGGGGTGGGGGCAGGGTGGGCATCTGAGGAGGGACGAGTCCACCCCACCCTCATGGCCTGAGCCTAGTTTCTCAGAGCAGCTGAGTCAGCCCAGCATCTGGAAGCTGAAGGGAGACTGTAGCAGAGCATGGGGGCCTCAGAGGCTGGGGCAGTGTGAGGGCAGGGAGGGCCAGTCCAGGGCTCCCTGGACACTAAGAGCCCCTAACTAGACAGGATGAGGCTTTGGGGTCAGTCAGCTCTGGATTCAAATCCTGTCCCTGCCCCTTCCTAAGGTGTCAGAAAAGCCTGTAAACACAACTCTGTCCAATCCCGCCACCAGTTCCTCAGAGTCCCCCTTCCTAATATGCCCGCTCTGGGGCATCCACATCTGGACGTGGGTCTGTCTTCTGCCTGGGCTGCCTGGGAACCCAGCTGTGTGAAGTAGGACCAGGATGTCCTAGTAGAAGCCTGTCCTCAAGGGTTTGGAGAAGATCCCAGGTGTCTGGACAGTGAATATAAATCCTGACCTCAAATGACCATCACCATAATTCTCTCACCCCACTTCCTGGATCCAAGCAAGAAGGACTGAAGTCCTCCTGCTGGTCAGTGACACAGGCTGAGCCAGGACCCAGGTCTCCGGAACTCCCGCCCGAGGGCTACCAAACTCCCCAGGCCTGGCCCCTCTCCGAAGGGCAGGAGGGCCCTGTTTACAGATGCTCCCGGAGGACACCCAGGTCTGGTATTTCCAGGGCTCCTGGGCAGGGCTGGCAGGTCTTGGCTCCTGGAATGTGAAACTCCGGAAGACGCTGGCATTTCCTGCTGTCAGCAGCTTTCCCACTGCTTGCCTTTTTACTCCAGGTAAAAATAGAAGGAATCTCCCTCCTGGCAGCTTTGGGGTAGTCTTTCCATCTGCCCTCAGGGAAGCCCTGCTAGGAAACAGGCAGGAATGGGGTAGAATTTCAGGTGTGCAGGTATGTTAGGTATGTAGAAGGAAGTCCAGGGTTTCCCCAGGCCAGAGGCCCCTCCTCTGCTGGCTAACAAGGATGAGTCTGTGAGAGTCATTTTCTCCAAACATAATGTCAGGATTTCTGAAGCTCCCTGCAAAGCAGCTTCTGTTGACCAAAACCTGATCCCTGCTCTGGCAGGATCCTCCACATGATACAATCCAGTGAATTAAGAGCCTCCATGTCATAGGAGGGTCTCGAAGAGAGGCCCCAGGATTTGCCACCAGGAATGAAGCTAGACCAGTCTACCGAGCTGAGACTCAAGATCCATATGCCAGTTCTGTAGCTGGAACAGCCTCTCAGCAATTCAGAGCTATTGCCTGGGCATGAGATGTTACTGTGGATACACCCAGAGACACAATGGCTGTGTCTGAGAGATTCAAATGCATCCAGAAGCCCAGCTGCAAGGACGCTGGGAAGGAAAGCCTGAAGCTTCCAGCCTCTGCAGCCCAGACAGTCCTGAAGAAGTAGGCTGCATGCCAAATGTTCACCCCCACATCCTGCACACCCCCCTACCCTGGCTCTCACTGCCCTTAGGCTTAACACAGCTCCTTGGGAGAGCCACAGCACCACCCCTGCCTCAGCCCCCAATGCCCCATCCCTATTCATTCTTCATCTTTCACTTAAATGTCAGCCACCCTCTGAAATCTTCTTGAACATCAAGGCTGAGGTCAGCCACCTGATACCTCCTGAGAGCACCGTGGACGTCATCTGATACGCTCTCACCACGGCTCTTTGTGGCTTTTCTGTTAAGGCAGACACTTGAAAATCAGGTCTCTGCTGTGGTTTTTGATACCTCAACAACAAGAAGTGAACAAGTCCTTTCAGTGACCAAGTTGATCAAGAGCTTTATTTTAGTTGTACCAGAGCCGACTATTCAGCACCACAGGTCTGGACAGTTCTTTTGTGCTCTCCAATGTGCCCCACAAGTTAAATATATATTTTTCTTTAATTTTTCGTGTGTGTGCGTGTGTGTTTAAATATGCAGTACAGTGGCACTTCACAGTATTTTGCAATTATCTGTGATAATCTGAGCAAAGAAGTTTATAATTATTATCAGATTCTCAAATACATTATGGCCCCAGGACAGTTAAGACCACAGAACCACAGACCTGCAGGCAACAATTCTCACCAAGTCACCATGACAAGACAGACAGATTGAGTGAAAGGTTTTCCTCCTCTGCTCCACAGGAATTCAATCTCCTTCCTATGTGAATTCCTGTGTGAATGTGCTTGTTCTGAGAAGGAAGAAAGCTTCCTCTGAAAAAAGGCAATTGGGATCAAAGTTTGGAGATGTTCCCCCTTACGGAGGCCGACATACTCTTACCAATTTTTGCTTTCCCTTTTCTTTGTGACTGTGTGTAACCCATATGATGATGTCACAGCTATTTTTCCTAGCAGTTGCAGCCAAAAGATTTATAAACTTAGGAATCTAGAAGGTTCTGAGTCTCATCTGTCCCTACCCTATCCAAGCAGGCTGTTGATGATGTTGGCAGCCTGGGCTCCTGCAGCCCTGCATGTGGCTGTGTCCTGTGTTAGGAGGGCTAAGGGGTGGGGGGGGAACAAGAGCTGTGGAGTCCAACCTTAGACCTTCCCCAGTGCATCTGACTCCAGAGGACACAGCTGAGAAGCAGCTTCACAGGGAAGCCCTGGGGCTGTCTGGAAGAGGAGGCTTGAAGACATGCAAGCAATAATTCTCACCAAGTCACCATAACAGGACAGGCAGGTTGAGTGAGACACACCCTGAACACAGGGCTTTCATCATCCATTCACTTATTCCATTCATTCATTGAATACACCCTGTGCACTTACTCTGTGCCAGCGGATGCTATGGATACGACTGTGACCTAGTTCCAGTTCCTGCCCTTCTGGGTATCATAGTCCAGGGAGGAAACAGACGCCTCTCCAAACAGTGATGATTCAGGG